GAGAGAGAGAGAGAGAGAGAGAGAGAGAGAGAGAGAGAGAGAGAGAGAGAGAGCGCTGCACTCACCAGGAGCAAATATAAACTCCAAAGGCAGTGACCCACCCCCTCCAATCACTCTCCACCTGCCTACAGTTATTGCCCAGTTAATTCAGATCAATGGAATAATGCAATGATTAGATCAAGGCTGTCATAACCCAATCATTTCACCTCTGAATCTTCTTGTATGTTGCACACATGAGCTTTTGGGGAACACCTCATCTCTAAACCATAACATCCCTCGGCTGCTACTTTCTATTAAAGTCTTCACATTTTAGATGAGTGTGAAGAGGCATTGTCTCTAGAAGTAGTTGAGATGATTATCTATTCTCGGAAGCTATATCAATTAGTCACGGGCAAAGCAAAGAAGATTAATTGGAATCTTATATGTAGTGTTTATAAAGGTTTTCCTCCATACCCAGGGTTTCTAAACATTTTGCGCTGCAGTGCTTTAATCAAATGAAATCTAATAGTGAATCCAAACATATAACACACACACACACACACACACACACACACACACACACACACACAGAGTAAACATTGTACATTATGACTATGTATAAATTTTATGAATTCAAGTGTATGATACATTTCATTGATATTTTATAAAGTCAAATTTTAATAAAAACTCTAAAATTTAAATCTAGAAGTTTGGCTGATGAGCTTTTGTGAAGAACAAAATTCAAAGCAAATTGCTGACATTCTAAGATACTTCCACAGAGAATCACTTCTCCCTATAAACCTGCTTCTTAAGGGTTCTACCCTGCTGGTGTGCTCTGGACTTGGCAACCAGTCAAAGAGCATTGTAAAGTCTTTATAAAATCTCAGATTTAATTACATGTCTGGCCACAATCCTTGTGTACGATATAATGGTGTCACTTATTTCTGCTCAGAAATGGCACATATACCATGTTGAACCTATGCAGGACAGGATGTTCCCAGCCCCAATAGCTTGTGACCCCTCTGCTAATGAATGTTCAGGAACAATGGTTTTCTCTCTCCATTCTGCTTTCCATTCAGTATCCAGAAATAAATGCTATTCAACTGCAGAAGATCCTGAACCGAATGACCTGGTCAAGTAAGTATCTTAGAGTTATTCAGTAGGACTCACAAGGGGACACACATTTTCAATATTCCATCTCTGTTTCTCTTGGCTTGGTGGGATATGTGAATCAGTGAAAGCCGGTCTCACCTGGCAACCATGTTTGACACCAGGATGGGTTTTGTGGTCTGGCAAAGCAGTAGAGCTTTGAAGTACTTATTTTTTGCTTGGTTTGGGTGTGTAGAGGTATATGGCTATGAAAATGAAGACCTTTCCCCATTTTGCTAGTTTGAAAAGAAGAACTCCTTTCTTGGCATATCAATTCCATTTCTTCAACCTGGGTTATAAATTTTAATTATTGACTAGACTACCAGGGAACTCTCTGATAAACTTATATTTAAATTAAGCAAGCTACAAAAATCTGGAATAATACAGCATATCATCTAGGAGGATTGCAGATGGGAGCTTTCATATGATGTCTAGGATAAACTATTAGGAAAGCTTAAAGTCCATATAAAAACATTGCATGTACATATTTGGAACAAGAAGACCATGGAGGAAATACACTGATTTCTGCAGGGAGGCAATTGAACTTCAGAGTAAGAAAGATAAAACAAATGATTAATGAGTATTTTCTATCTAAGATATTTGATTGCCTCTTTATATGAAGCCAAGGTTCTGAACCTATACAAATTACAGTTCAGGGTATGTCTCAAGGTTTGAAATAGTTTCCAGATGTTTTCTCAAAGTCTAATTTACTTATCAGTGAAAGGTCCAAAAAGGAAGACTCTAGGTGTTCTAGAACATCAGAGACACCTGAAAAAAATTCTATACTGATTCTAGAAAAATTATCTCAAGAAATGGCTTGTGCCATTTTTAAGTGTCTCGATTGCAAGTATACAAGACACTTTTCCTAAAAATGTGTGGACATATTGCTTTTGTTTAGGCTTATGTGAGGATTTCTGGAACTTCTGTCAGAGAACTACTATAAATTTTGACAAAATATTTGGTAAAATCTCCCACAATGTGAGTTGGAAAAGAGTAATATTAGACATATTCAGAAGTCTTAACACCATTCCCACAGCTATGCAAATATACAACAAGAGAAATAATTCTTGATTATTAGTGAAAATTTATGTATATTTTAAGTGTCTAGAGGAGGATCCTAGACTTAGTCCTTAATTCCTTTTATTTCCCTAACTTTAATCAATGGCTTAGAAGAAGACATAGGATGTAGGGTCAGTGCATCTGCAGATGGCACCAAGCTGGGAAGAATCACCTAAATAATAGACAGAAGAATAAAAATCCAGAATGTTTTCAATAATCTGGGCCCAAAGCAAAAAAGATGAAATGTAATTAGGATGATCATAAAACACTGCCATTGTTATTTTTTAAAAAATTAGTTGCACAGGTTTCTAACTTTTTAAAGACCTTTTTTTTTTTTCTTTTGTGTATGTGACAATTTATGTGAGAGATATTTGGTTAATTTAGTTGACTTTCAACTTTTGAACTAATAATCTCAACTTGCTGCTAAATAAGCTAATGCAAATTCAGCTCTATTTAATGGAAGCATTTAGATCTGTGTTTATGAAATTGTTCTCCAAGTAACATTAGACTAAGTGATTTTAGTAAACATTCTAGGAAGTGAAAGGAGTTCATTTCTGTGGTCAGTGACACTTGGGAAATTCTGTATCACACTATCATGTCCACAGCTCAGGTGTGTCAGACCAGTGGGGTAGGCTGCTTCAAAGGCCCAAGAAAGTACCTGCATGTGACATGAGAGATTTATGATTTATTGGGGAACGTTTACAAGAGATCAGTGACTGCTCCAAGAGGAGTTCAATCAGGCTGAACAGGTAGCATCTCTGTCCCTCTAGGTGCCTTGCCAAGCACAGTGCCTCCATCCCTCATGACATAGGTCCAGAAAAGAGTGCCTCTGTCCCTCATGATGCTTTTTCCAGTGGCAGCACCTGTGTGAGTGACAGGTATCCGCTCCATAGTTCCCACAGTTCGCCAATGAGAGAGGGGTTTTGTATGTTAGGCTGCAGAAGCACTGATACCATCAGCATTAGTTTTCTTAGTTTGCTTACATGATCAGCATCCCAAGGAGCAATTGTCCTGGCATACAAGCAAGAAAGTAGCTTTCTAGAGATAACACTAACTCACCCTAGTTCCCAGTGTGTACAAGAGAAACCAATGTCCTTCAGGATAACATGGATCTGGACGTTCCAGCCCAGGGTCTCCCTCACTATTCCCTTAACTTGGCTAGGTTTTTTGGGAGCAGAAAGGGGGCATTCAGGGACATGATGTTTTACTATCTCCTTTTTCTTTAAGGACAATAAACACATAATTTCAATATTGGCCAAGGTGCTTGGTGAAGGGAGGAAAGGGGCTATAGACACAAATTATATATAGGATCACAAAACTCTCTGCAGAACATCTCCCTTGGAAAATAATTTGGGAAATGCTGACTGAGAACTTTGGAAGCGATAGGCCCACCGTAATCAAATTGCATCAGAGGAATGTGTTCAAGTCTTGGTGTCATATTTTAGACGAGCACTGGCAAAGCCTAGGCTCCAGAAAGGGACGACAAGGGTTTAGAAACCATTCCATTTGAGCAATAGTTGGGGATATGATCCTATGTAGAGGGATGGGAGAAGTCACAGAGGAGACAAACATCATTTTTATGCTTTTCTGGAGACAGAACTGGGCCAGTGAGTGAATATTACAGGAGGATCCTTTGGAATCAAAAAAATTCAAAAAGTTTCTCTGGAAGCTCTGTCTATGTGGAAGGGTGAGCACTCATCAATGACGGAGCAGCCATCGTGAAGCCTGAGGAGAAAATCCCCCAGTTTGGGTGGGAACTTGAACCAGCAGGCCTCGCAGTTCTCCTTCAGGACTGGGAGTCTGTGGCAATGATCCTGGCCCTCCCTAGACGCAGAGCGTGTGTTCATTTCTCCCACTGTGTGAACAAAGCCCAGCCAGGAGTGAGTGTCCTCTCTAGGGTGTAGGAGCCACCATCAGGTCCCCTGTCTCTCCACTGCTCCCTCCTTACTCTTTCCACCCTACATACACGGTGTCAACAGAATCTCTGTCTGCCCTGGGCAGTGCTGCCTCCTTCTGTTCAGAACAGGGGCTGCAGTCCTAGGCCAGCCCTCCACTATACAAACTCCTTTGCTTCCTGCAGGTCTGGGGAACAGACAGCCCTTCTTCAGCTTTGATGCCTGCCAGGGGATCCTGGCCCTCCTGGACGTATCTTTTCAGGTTTGTGGGTGGGTGTGTGCTGCTGGTCGAGATCTTGGCTCATCCTGTCCAGGTTTGGATCCCCACCCAGGCCCTTGCTAGTTGTTTGATCTTGGACAATCACTGAACCTCATCATGCCTGCACATCAGGTACACATCTGATACAGTGAAGAGAGTATTAAAACCTCCTCTGTAGGGTTGGTATAAAAATGCAAATAGATAACTCAGGTAATGTGCTGAGGTCAGAACTGCCGTCTGTTAACTATCAATAACAATAATCTGCTGAGTGCAGTGGCCCATGCCCGTGATCCTAACCCTCAGGAGGCTGAAGCAGGAGGATTACAAGTTCAAGACCGGCCTGGGCAACTTAGCAAATGAAATTTTTTAAAAAGTAAAATAAAATAGGCTGGGGGTGTAGCTCAATGGTAGACTACTTGCCTAGCAAATGCAAGGTCTTGGGTTCAATTCCTAGTACCAACAACCCCCCCCCAACATATCTTATTTTCCTGAGAGTAAGGTTGAGGCATCTGCAGAGTGCTGCCTAGAAGTCATTCTCCAGCATTCATAAGAGAAGGCAAGAGCCACAGGGCTCTGAGTCTTTCCTCTGATGATGGGCAATGGTTGCCCTATTTACATATCAGGAAACCAGAGCTCAGGGAAGTCAAAGACATGCAGGACCTCGGCTTTCCTCGTTCCGAACCCTGTGATTTTCCTAGCAAACATTCTGACTTTCCAAGTGGACAGTTAAATCAAAGTTTGATTATCTGTACTGCAGAGAGGCAGAGAACGGATCATCTGAGGAATTTTGTGAAAAACAGTCGTCTTTGCAGACACTCAGAGGTGGTACAGGATGGTACAGGCAACAGGACAGGTTCCATCCTTGTCCCCAGCTCAGGGGAAAAGGGGGAGCTCATTTCTAGACTATGGGGGAGCTAATGCTACAAGGCGTAAAGCGCATAACACAGGGAAAGCATGCAACTCAGTGCCAGCCACGGGAGGGCCCAGAGAAGGTGCATGGTGGTGTTTTGACCCAGTCTCTCTGATGCCTGGGTATTTTGACATTGTCTACAAGGTCACCCATTTTGCTTTTAACTTTTCAAAAAACGAGTAAGTAAAAGAAGCAGCCTTAGCCACCTTGTGCCTAAGCTCTTCCGTACATTGATTTTAACTCTAACGAGAAAAAGTTACTGGATTTTATTTAAATCACATCCAATTGGCCATGATAAAATATCCTGCTTCACTAAATGATGGCTGTTGTCATCACTTTCGACATCATCACTTCTTCCAAAGCCACTGTGCTATGGCTCATTCTGTCCTTTCCTAGCAAGGGCAAGGGAGATCTAGGCTGGACTGGCCAGTGAAGGGAGGCCAGGTAGGGACATCGGACCTTGAACGGGGCCATCCACAAATTGTACACTGCTTATAGAGGGCCCATTAGTGCTTCCAGAATCAAGGATGCAGTGCTGTCCTGCCAGAGTTCACCTTGACCTGTTATCAGCTTAATGCATCAGGGACTGTGAGCATCCAGGAGTTCAGGAGCCTGTGGAAGCAGCTGATGCTGTACCAGGTAAGGACAAGCCCTAGCCATAATCCTCTGAGGAATGGTACAGAAATGGCAATTCTTCAACACTACGTAAGATATCTCTCTCCCCTTTATACCTGACCACTTGCCACATCTTCTCTGCTCTTCCTGCAGTGAGTGCTTGCTCTTCCTCTCTCCCAAACTCAGACAGCCTGCTGCAGCGGTCTCCTGAGTTTCTAAGACACACATCTGATCAGCTTGCTTCTTTGCAAAAACCTTTTAAAGACCCCTGTTTGCTTTCAGAGCCAGTCCAACATCCTTAGCAAGCTGTGCATTTAAAGTTCTTCCGAAACTGGCTTCTCCTACTCTTTCAGTCATTACTTAAAACTCTCCCACTTTTTCCTTGAGTCATGAAGTTAGAAGCACTTCAAAGTATGGAAAATGTACTTAAATCAAGCACATTGACCCACACCCAGACTATCCATACCCCATGAGAAGACCTTGGTCTTTCTCAGAACCTGTAGATAATGTGAGATGATAGGAGCCTAGCCTGGACCCTCTGCTGAATCCTTAATCCACCAGCGGTCCCCCCACGGCTATGACACTGCACACGTAGGGGCTCAGATGGTGCTTGGGCGTGCCTGCCTTCCTTAGCCTTTGGTTTTGGTTCTTTGCAGGAAGTTTTCCACAAGCAAGACAGTAGCAGGTCAGGACTCCTGGACTGGGTGCAGCTGCAGGCTGCCGTGATGGAGGCAGGTAAGCAGAGGAATGGAGGAGCTGGTGCCGGGACAGGTGCCCACTCCCCGGGCAGGGAGGAGGGGTCCCATGACATTCTGAAGTGGCTCCCCAAATGCAGAGGCTCACAGGTGTGGATCTTCAGGTATCAAAAACATTGAGTATTCTGATTGTTATGATCGTAGCTAAGATTTATCAAGGATTGGCACATCTGGTCTCTCATTTAATCGTCAACAACACCCTGTTCAATCCACCCTACAGAGGAAGAAATTAAAGATCAGAGAAGTTAAAGAACTTGCTTGGGGTTTTAATGCAGGAATACTGGGCCCCGGGATTGCCAAGTCAAGCACTGAGCACCAAGTCTGAGTACTAAGCAGTCTGCCTCCTGCCTTGGAGGCCAATGACCACTTGATAAAAAGATTTCCATGCTGGTGGCCTAAAGGGGCAGGCATGGGGAATGGAGATGAAATGAATTGATTAGATAATTAGAAGATTTGAAATGAATGACATTAAAAAAAGATCTCCACGCTATCAGGATTCAAGTCCCTTAAGTGAAGGGATGGGTGGGGACACGGGTCCCAGAGCGCCAGCACTCAGCATGGGAGCCTGTGCTTAATGCAGGAATCGTGCTTGGGGACGACGTCTGCCAGCTGATGCTCCTCCGCTATGGTGGCCCCAGACTTCAGATTGATTTTGTCAGCTTTGTCCTCTTGATGCTGCGTGCAGTGAACATGGAGAGTAAGTGAGTGGGGGACCAGGGGCTTTCTCTTCATGTCCCGTGATTGCCCGCTTGCCCCTAGTTCAAGCTCAAGAGAGCTTAGTGCCAGTCCAGAAACAAGAGGCTGGGGAGCCCTGGGGACTGTGGGTCATGTGCCAGTCTAAACTAATTCACACCCTGCCTTGCTCCAGAGGCAGAGGTTTGAGGTATTTCATTTATAAGAAGTGTGGCCATGGGTGGGTACATGGAGGTGGAAATTGGTTTCCCTTGCATTTTCAGCATGGATGTGGTTAAGGTATGGGGAGGTATGGAAGGAACTAGTTTATAATGTTTCACACACACACACACACACATGCACATACAAAGTAGCTGTGTTCCTTTCTGCTGTATTTTTCACAGATGTCTTCCAAAACTTAACCAAAGATGGCAAAGGGATATACCTCCAGAAGCCCGAGGTAAGGCTTCCCCCAAGAAGCCAGCTGTCATTGGTTAGGTAAAGGTGGCCCTTGCAGGCCCAGGCTCTTATGAAGTAGAAGGGTTCTGGGGGCCCTTCATTCTATTGTGTTGGAGATTGGGCACTGCATTTATGGACTTATTCATTCATTTATGAAATATTTACAGAGTACCCACTTAGTGTCCGGTATGTCTGAAGGGACCGGGGAGTGACTAGCTCTGATCACAACAATGCCAATGTGATAACCCCATAAATTTTCAACAATGTAGGACAATCATTTATTTAGCTCCCAAGCCACATGAGTGGGAGCCAGTGGGTCTCAGCTGGCTTGTTCATACTTCTGTAGGCTGGCTGGGAGCTTTGCTGGGACACTTTAATTGGGGAAACTTGACCAGGCTTGGCCTTCTGAGGACAAAGACAGACGTACAAGAAAGAGAGCTTAACACGCAAGGCTCCAAGACCAAGGCTCTGATCTGACACACCCCTCCTGGCAGCTCCTTCTGTCAATCAAAGCAAGTCACATGGCCAAGTCCATTTCAACAGACCGGCAAATAGCCTCCTCCTCTTTCATGCCACATGGCAGATAGCAGGCCATGAACCCAGAGATGGGTGAGGAACTGGGTCTAGCAGTAAACTCTAGCACAGACAGTAATGAGAGATCTAGTCTCCATGGAGCACTCCACGAGGCCTCTCTGGAGGAGGTGGCATTGAAGCTGAACATGATTAAAGCATATTCTATGTGTTTACAAGAAGGAGCCAGCCAGGGAGTATTCTGGCAAGGAAAGGCGACGTTGGCTGAATGGATCAGTGTGTGGAATTCTGGGTAGAGAAGAGAGTGAGAGGAACTGGCTCAAGGTGAGTCTCAAAGTCAGGGTCAGATCAGGCAAAACTTGAAGGCCAGAAATAAATCTCACTGAAGAGCTGGAACTGCTCTACACCAAGTTCAAGCACTGCATTCACTGTCCTTGTGACCTTTTTCTGAATCTCATTTAGTGCTTCACACACAGTAGGTGCTTGACAAATGTTTGTTGAATGAAGAAGGTGATATGTTTAGGAGAAGACAAACAAATGCATGACACCAATTATCTCCTCTGATCCTTCAAAATGCTCTGCTTTATCAAGGACCTGCTATGAGCTGGTCCTAGCTAGTGTTCACTGCAAGGATGTTGGAGTCTGGAGTTGAGTCACCTGTTCTTTTTATTCTGCAACACTTTTTCCATATGAGCTGCTTAGAAAGGCCCCAGTAAAAGCTGAGATTTCTTCCTTGATCTCAAATGTCTACTTTATATCCTATATTCAAAGATATAGAGAGGTCCTAAGCATACGTGTCCTTACAGTCACTCCAGTAATTGATGTGCATGTGGGGTGCAGCTTCATTGCCCCGTGAAGCTTTCTCTGACACCACTGGTCCTTTCATTAATATCACCTTCATCAGCAGCAGCGTCATTTTGATGCACTGCTTTGGTTTCTCCAGAGATCCCCTCAATGAGAGATCAGAGGGACCATAATTGTAAACACATAGAAAATGCTTTAATGATGTCTGCTACCCCATCGGCTTGTACACCTGCGGTGTGTGAGCATGCCACAGTTCTCAAGGGGGAAAAATGCATTGAAAATTGAATACAAAATCAGTCCGGATCTTGACAGTCATCATTCACAGGCACCGTGAAAAAGTCAAGGTTGATTATATTTCAGGTTGATTTATACTTACTACCAGGTGGTGTGGTCCCTCGGGCTAAACCATCCATTAATGTCCCATCTCCATGACTCCCCAGGTGTCAGGGAAAGGGGCCTCAAGTCAGGTGGGGGTGAACTGATCATGATTTGTTTTCCCTTCGTGTCCAGTGGCTGATGATGACTCTGTATTCCTGAGAAGCCTGGAACCTTGTCTGCCCTCACTACAGACTCTGCATATGGGCCACCGGTACCTTTGGCCGAAACTAACCCTCACTCACCCCAGTTACTGTTCTTCAGGACTGTGCACCAGCCGTCACCTGCTCAGCTGGGAAGATTTCTCTCCTGCAGCTCTCCCCTTTGGATGGTCAACATGCTGAAAGGAAAGGAAGGTGGCAAAGATTGCACTGGATTTGTTAAGTCCAGCTGTCCTTCCCTGTGACCATAACCTTGCCACCACCATCAGAGACGTTACCTGACATGACCTGAGCAATACAACTGTGGGCCTGGTGGGCTTAGTCTCTATGGGACACTTCATGGCTGTCCCACTTAAATGACCTTACATGCACCAGGTATCATCACACTTGAGATAACACTCTAGGTTTCAAGGTTTGAAGAAGGAATGCCGTATCCTTTGATATCTGTAAATTGGTAGAGGTATAGGCTAAGTTTCTACTCTTTGGGTGGAGTTAGGGACATAGCAGGCTTTCATGAACATAGAAAATAAGAGAATTGACTGGATCCAGGTGGAATGTGCTGGCTCTGGCCCCTGGGACCACTCTTGACTTCTGCTGACAATCTCTTTGGATGACCGGATTTGGGGCCACTGTGGATTTAAGATACCTGAGTTCTCAAAGGCCTTCTTGCTTGTAACAGGCATCAGTCTATTTTCTTAACCTAGGGACTATTGGATCCATTTGAAATCAATGTTCCTCCTTCAAAGAAGAATGACAAATCCCTGCTAAATTATAGAGTTTGTCAGTGGATGGTTGGCATATCTATTTTTTTTCCAGCTACTATGATATGTCATTACGTGTGGCATCCCTACCAACCCCAAACCCAAATGCAAAACCAGAACAAAGGCTGTTTTCCAAAGCCCACACGTTTCACTCACAGATTAGCATCCCAGCACCATTCATTACTATTCTATTTGTTCTTAATATACAAATGAGTCTAACAAACATGTCTACCGGGTCTCCAAGTCCACAGTGGACTAAAGGAAGCAGCTGAACGAGGAGCTAAGAGTGTGTCACTTGCAGAACTAAGGAGATTTGACAGCCTGATAGATGAGCAGTGTACTAGAAGCATGGAACACTTTAAAAGCGAATTTCAAGGAGGTAGAAAAGTATTTTACTTAGTTAAAAAAAAATCTTCATTTATTCCAAATGATAATATGTATGTCTTGCCATAAAGTGCAAGATACGTGAGGTGTCACTGATTTTATAAATGATGATCATGTACTTATAGTTTAAAATTTTTTTTGTCCTTTCATTTATTGGTGTATTTGTCCTCAGATTCAGCCATTGTAAATATTGTCTTAGTCAAGTAGTCATTGACTTGATCCATGAATGACATCTTGGAGATTTTAGGTGATGGGAAGAAGATAGCATTTTTCCATTTGTGACATTCAGGTGACAATGTGCTGGTTGTGTTCTGCGTGGATGGATCTACTTCCAAGTAAAATCAGAGAGCTTTTTGGTGGTCTGCACTGCCCTCCTATACCTCTCATGTGTCACCCTCACTCCCCTGAGTCCATGCATCATCACCAAGGCAACTCAAAGATGACCTGTGCTCTGCTACTTATCCCCAGTGTTCCCCAAAGCTGATCAGGAGCAGAGCCAGGCCCTCTCCCCATCTTCTGTCATTCCGGGGCAAGCAGAGATAGGTGACCAGGATCAGGTGGAAGCTATGGGAGGTGGACATCAACAGTCTGTAAAGCTGAAAGCCTAGTTTACTGTGACCAAGAACAAGTGACAAGTGTGCAGCCAGCCCATGAGGGACAAATGTCAGTCCTCCCATGCTGAGGCCGGGTGGGTGGGGGAGGTCAGCGAATCCAGAGGTCAGATTGTCTGCAAGTCCGTCCAAACAGACAGAGCACATACCCATTACTGGCTGTCAGAAATCTCAGGGGGAAATACATGACTCTGGTAAAAGAAGAGGAGTAGAAAGGAAAAGGAATAGAAGAGGCCGTTAAAATAGCTATCGTTTCTTTACTCTTTGTTTTCTTCTGTCTTTATTTCGGATTTTATATAAAAGCTCAGTCACCAAAGAGAACCTTCTAAATGCCAGGTGGGGCCTGGGCAGGGTCGTCAGCCGCTGACTAAATAGAACTGCTTTCCTGCTGTCACCATGCTGAGTTAGAGAAATGGTTTCAGCCTCCAGGACTTTCAATCTGGTGTTTCCCAAATGAAATATATGTGTTTATAATGGGAAAAAAGGGAGAGAGAATGTTGTGACTGTGAGTAGGTAAAAGTAGGCCAGCCCTGCCTGGCTTCGTGGAGGAACAGGCCATGTGTCCAGGTCATAGGGAGCTCTGGAAAGAGGACCCACTAGGATCTCTGGCCTCATATCCTAAGTTACCATCTCTCCTCCAGTGTCCTTAGGACAGAGGGGTACAAAATCTAACAGGAATGAAAAGGAAGAGAGTCTGTGAAGGAACAGTCTGGCTGTGGGACACGGAACCTTAGTTCATTCGTTGGTAAAATGAAGCCCAGAACGCCCACATCACTGGGTCATTTTGAAGATTATATAACACCAGCATGATGCAGCCCTCAGGAAATGAAGCTACTATTTTTTTCCCTGTTGGGCAGTAAAAGTATTTTTACAACTGCTGTTTTTAAAGGACATGGTCACTCACAGTGATCATTCTCTGAAACACCCAAGCTTTCATGCAACATCTTTCCTCTTCTTCCTCCTCCACATTCCCTCTCTGAATGTATGAAACCACTTTCTTGAGTGCGGCATCAGGCCATTGAAGAAGTTCAGCTGCAGAGACCTCTGGGAAAGTGGCCATCTCTTATTATAGTGCTTCGCAAGTCAGAGGAGGCCCATGCCTCCTAACCTGAGATGCAGCAGGTCTCTATAGACTTCAGAGCCCCATGTTGCCAACTAGGGGTTTCCTGGACCATACAGACCAACCAACTTGAGGAGACTGAGTACTGACCGGGTGTTTTTCCAGAAATTCTGTTGGGCAATGTGGTTTCCTAGAACTGAAGTGACATTAGTGGCAGGAAGGAAGTTAGGCAACCTGAAACTCAGTTGCTCTTGGTAGGCTTCTGTGGGCAGGAAGGTCCTCTCTCCTGATGGACACCTCATGAACTCAGCTGGTCAGTATGTGGCGCTGGCCAGGTCCTGGAAGGGCTAAGCGGTTGGGCAGTGAGTTTCACCTCAACACTCTGTCCATCCATCCTGCTGTCCATGCATGCATCCATTCATTTGGAAATGTTTGTCAAGCTCCTACAGTGGGTCAGACACTGTGCTAGGTATTGGGGACAGCAGAATGAGCTGGGCCACTCAGGCAGGCAGCGGCTCACTCCTGCACGCCTTGTCATAGCATCTGGACTCTATTCTAAGGGGCTGAGCGTCGCCCGCACCAGCCTTTCCTCTCAGCCGGGCACAGGGTGAGCTTAGTCAAATCCCTATCTTTGGTTCACGGGCCTTTGATCAAGTGATTTAACCTTTCTTGATCTCTCAGCCTCATCCATAAAATGGTGATAACAGAGTCCATCTCGCGGGGCTCACGTGATGTCTAGACAATTTAACCTCCGTGAGCACTTATGGTCTTTGGCGCTGAACAACTTGATTGAGCTCCACCCATTTCTCTGGGCGGGGGTGGGGGGCGGAGCGCCTTCCTCTCTACACTACTGGCTCCTGCCCGGGCTGATGCCACCGCTAGATGGCGCACGATCCACACACAAGGGCTCCTTCACGACGGTGGGACAAGAGATGACAGCTTCAGCCAGGGCCAGCCTGGGAAACCCTAGCTAATTCAGTTCCCCTGCCAGCCTGACTGGGCCCCACGGGGACTCCCTCTCTTTTTCTTGCCCTTTTCTTCTGCATAGTTTTCAGTTGATGTACTGTATTTTATGCCCTGCATTTTTGTTTCTGAGAAAAAGTAAACCATTTATTTAATCATTCTTTTAAAGTACATTTTCTTGGGGGCTTACAGCGTCACCCAGGTTGTACTCTTGAGTCCCAGGGATGGTTGAGTGCTTAGCTCATGTTTAGTGCTTATGAATTTATTAAATGAAAGATTTTTAAGGTAATTTAAGTAAATCCTGTCATTTTAAAAATCAGTCTTGCGAGGCGTGGTAGTGTACGCCTGTAATCCTGATGGCTTGGGAAGATGAGCAGGAATATTTCAAGTTCAGGGGCAGCCTCGGCAACTAAGTGAGGCTCTAAGCAACTTAACAAGACCTCATCTCAAAATAAGAAAGAAAATAAAAAGGGCTGGAGATGCAGCTCAGTGGTTAAGCACACCTGGGTTCCATTTCTAGTACCAAAAATAAATAAATAAATAGATTTTTAAAACCATATAAATAAAAAAAATGATAAATAAATAAAATCAGTCTCTATTAAGTTGCTAACTGAAAATATCAGCTTATGTGATTGCTGAAGGACACATATAACATTTCTCTGAAAAGCCCCCTCCAGTGTTATGTAGGGTTGGGTGTGTAGACACTAGACCCTGGCTGAGGGGGTACCCCAGACCCTCACAGTCTCCATCTGATGACATTCTTCATAACTTGAGCATCATTTGTTCTTATACTTCTAGAATTCATCCTCCCTGGAGGCTTGACTAGTTGGGGCAAGTTCTGGAGCCTGTTGCTTTTAGGTTGGGGGTTGCAGAATGGATGCCCTGGCTGTAGTGGGAAGTCCTGGGCCAGACCCAGATTGAGGTGAGGCTGAGTTGTTAGTCTTTGTCTCTTCATCTAGCTATGGGGACCCATTTGTTCATCAGCAGCCACAGCCCTGCCAGGTGGCCCAGCCAGCTGCAACACACCCAAGCAGACCCAGTGGGGCAGGCTAAGGGACCCGGCCAGCTCCTCCTCTCACTCATTTGGCATTGCACACAAGGAGGCCTGGGCCTGGTCAGGCGTCATGGCAAGGCTGGTCTGTGCACTTACACACACTCCCATTTATGTTGGTGGGTTCTCTGGGTGCAGCTTGGTGGGACTCATGCAGAACATCTCCCCCTGCTGCTTGGCTTTCTTGACAAGGGAGGAATCAGAAATTGTGAGAGTGCCCAGGCCAGGGGCAGGTGCAAGAGGACTGTAGTAACCTCAGAGTGCAGCTGCTCCTTTTCCCAAACTGCTACAGGCCTCTACAGGAACACCCAATGCCCCTCTGCAGGAGCACCTTAACTTCAGGGGTGCTGAGCCCCAGGGGACTTCCTGTGGACTCCTATCATAGAAGAATGACCAGGCAGTAGGCTTGCAGGCCTGGCCTGGGAATGGTCCTTGATATTGCTGCTCAGACCTGCTCACAGAAGCAAATCCCATCTCCCTCTCCATGAAGAGAAAGAGAGCAAGAAGGGAAGGGGGCTTGGAGAGAGAGAGAGAGAGAGAGAGAGAGAGAGAGAGAGAGATAGCCAAGGTTCCAGAATGATGGTTTCCTCAGATCACCCAGGTTTGGAGTTAGAAGAAGAAATCTGAATTTTGTGAACTCTGCAATGAGATTTGGGAGTCCGGGGTGGGCTGGTGAAACAGAAAGCACATTGACCAGAATCCAGAGGACTTCAGCTTATGTCCTCTGTGCCCCCACTGAGTGTGTGGCTATGACCTTGGGGGAAATCGTTTAACCTCTGAGTCTCAGGTTTCTTCTGAGTTGGGGTGTTAACTCCCACTTCAGGATGGGGGCAAAGGTGAAATAAGATTGAGTCTGACAAAGACCTTCTCATGTAGTAAGTGGGGTTCCAAGTTGTTCTAGTGGACGGGTCTGGTGCAATGTGCCTTCCCTGGACTGTTTGAGGATGTTGAATTCTCTCTCGTAACTAAGAGAAACAAACAAGCAAGAAGGATATTTAAAGGGCTGTGAATATAGCTCAGTTGGTAGAGTGCTTGCCTCACATGCACAAGGCCCTGGGTTCAATCTCCAGCACCACAAAGGAAAGAAAGAAAAGAAAAGAAAAAAAGGATAGTTAAAACTAAAGGTAGAAGCCAATGGCTTGTGAGGTATGTCGGACCTAGATAAAGAATGTGAAGCACATGTGTGTGAACGTAGATAGGAAGGGATGAAGGAGTTGAGTAGGCACTGAATATTCATGAGCCACACTAAATATACATGAGACACATGAAGCAACACATATTCAGATTACTTCCACCACCCACAGACCCATGGGGCACCCAATAGTCAATCAACCACCCATTGGCAATGCCCCTGGAAATGCAGACAAACACAGCTTTCAGCAGATGAATCAATAAACTAAATTATGTCCAGTCATTGTATTTGTCCCTTGTCTCTCGGATGGAGCAT